CAAATCACTCAATAGTTCTCATTGTAATGAATAGCAAGTTCAGAATCTTTATCGTGCCTTATGAAGCCTAAGCAATTTCTCTGCCCAGCTTCTTCTTCCATCATTATCAACATATAGCCGTCCTCTACATAAGTAGGACATTTTTCCTTGAGTAAGCCAGACTTTCTCATTTCAGATTATTCTCTCTGCCCAGTTCCCCCAGCCCTTCACTAAACCAACTCCTCTCCATCCTTCAGGTTGCAACTCAGAGTCTACTTTCCTTAGCCCTCAGATTGCATTATGAACCTATCCAATGTGCTCCCACGGAATATCACACTCATTCTGTGGTACTTATAATCTGTATTACTATTGCTGATTTACCCATAACCCCTCGCCAGTCTACACATTTCTTGTGGAAAGATACTGCCTCTTGTTCACCTTCACATCCCCAGCATAATAGGATCTCTTGAAAGACGCCAAAGTGGATGGGAGCAGCATTATCACCAAGAGGCAAGAGATCTGCACTCAAGTCCACCCCTTACTACTTAACCTTGATTTTTAAACCAACTGTAAACCCCCTGAAGAAGAGCGTGTAGAAGTAGAAATGTGATCTATGCTCTGCACAAAACTGGGTGGCTGCACTACACAATGCCCTTGCAGTCCTATCAAAACACTATATTCAGCCCTAGCCAGTTTGGCTCAGTGGATAGAGCATTGGCCTGCAGACTGAAGGGTTCCAGGTTCGATTCTGGTCAAGGACACATGCCCAGGTTGTGGGGACTATCCCCAGTAGGGAGGCATACAGGAGGCAGCCAATCAATAACTCTCTCTCATTATTGATATTTCTATCTCTCTTTCCCTCGCCTTCCTCTCTGAAATCAATAAAAATTTTTAAAACACACACACACACACACACACACACACACACACACACACTACAATCCACAGTTCCATATGCAATAGATTGCAAGGTGCACTGGGTTGCTATAAAATCCCTAAAAGACAAGCACCCTGGGGCACTGTGAAGAAGAAATATGAACGGTCTCCATAAATTCAGGGGGGAAAAAAACAAAAAAAATCTCAGTTCTGATTGTTATGGGAAGGAGGGAATTATCTGAAAGTACAAGAATAGAAGCATGAATTCTGGGCCAGATTATGCTCCAGCTCGGCTCTCTCAAAATCAGGCGTTTATTAAAAACTAGCAATAATTAGGCAGGACTACAATCTCTGTTGATTGGAATTTACTTATTAATCTTCAGCACAGCTTCCAGGTTTCTTCCCGGCTGTTGCCTGGGCCCCGCTCCTTCAGTGAGAAACGCTCACGTGTGCACAATGTGAGCACCTCCCGGCACTGACCTCCAGGGCGCCTCCGCTGTGCAGGGAAGGGCAGGGTCCTCTCCGTCCCCCCCGCAGAGCCTGGGCGGTTTTCACTGGCATGCAAATGTGCAGTGAGGTCCCTCGTCTTTTATTGAAGAGCATCCTGGAGAGAAAGAAAAAAGGAAATTGTTGTGAATTAAATGCCCTTGTCTCTTCAGGCAAGGAGATAAAAGTTCTGATTGATTGCTCAGATGGCTGGAAATGGAAGTATTAATGCAAAAACAATGGTTTTGTTATGTTTCTCTCCTCTGGGGTGTTGCCAATAGTGTAGTAGAAATTTTATTCCAGAAACAGCTTAGAAAGGGACCGTGTCCTTTGCCAGAACAAGCAAGTTGGGTGAAGTGCGGACGCAGGTGAAGAGCCGAGGAGGAGGGCTGGAGCGCGGCATTCCAGCCCTGGCCCTGCTGTGTTCTTGGCCTTGAACAAGTGCTTGACTGTCCTGACCTTGAATTCCATAAGGTTTGAAGTTTGAGCTATAATACATAGGAGGTCTAATGTCTCTTCACTGCCTGTAACGTATACAATTATTTCTCCTAAATTAAGCCACAGAGTGAACATCATCCTCTGCAGGGTGCTACTGACCCGCTCTGCCCTCTGGTATCGTGAAGAAAATTATCAGAGATTCCACCAAGTTCTGCCATTTCTCTTCAACAATATATAAATAAATCATTCTACTAAGAGCTATCTCCTAACAAAAGAAAGTGCACGTGTAAAATCACTCTATACAATGGATTGACTTGACAATTTACCAGAATTAACTTACGCCTAACTAGGTACATAATGAGCTATGTGCAATATGCAGTGAGGTTTTGGTGTTTCCTTTGAAGGGAGCTTCTACTTCCTCCTCACTTAAAAAAGGGAAAAATCCTCAGTTCAGAGCAAAGTATGAAAACAGCATGGCCACGCTCTGGTCCTGACCTCTCTTTTCCCCTAACTGATTCTGCAGCTTTCCCTGATTTGATGAACCCCTGCGTTCCTATTGCTCCATTTCCCAGCTTGTACATAGAGATGTTGGCTCACTGATGCTTGAAAGTCCTCACAGGGAATTCCCAGCACTTGACCACAGCGGCCAGGAGTTCAGAATTTAGGTATCTTTCACCTACCATGTTTCTTTTTTATTTTATTTTTTATTAAGTGTATTGGGGTGGCATGGGTGACTAAGATCATATAGCTTTCAAGTGTGCACTGCTATGACACATGATCTGTACATGGCATTGTGTGCCCACTGTCCAAAATCAAACCATCTTCTGTCACCAGACATTTGGCCCCTTTATCCTCTACAACCCCCCCGCCCCCCCTTCCCTCCGGTCACCACCATGCTGCTGTCTCTGCTGGGCCAAAGACCCCCCTGGTCTCTGGTCCTGACCGGTGGCGACCCCGAGAGAGAGAGCCAGGAGACCAAATTGATGCAAACGCAAGAGGCTTTATTCGAGCGCTCGGTCTCACAGCCCGCAGTCACCAAGGGTGAGTGCTAGCTGGAGCCCCGAGCGAGGGAAAGGGTACAGCTTTTAAAGGCAAAAACCACACGCAGGTGGCCAAAGAATTTTCCATACGTTAACAGGTTAAGCTTTAACAGATTAAAGCCATTGTTACATTCTTGTGGTTAGGGTGTTGCTGGGGCATTAATCACTTAGTTTCTTATTTTAATTTTTAAAAGGTCAGGGTTGCACAAACAGGATATAACTAACTCTGACCCTGGTTTCTGTTTTTCTCATAAGAAGCTGAGGGGGGTTTTTCTTGGCCTCACATTCCCCCCTTTTCTTGTAGGAAGTCCGAATCCTCGGACTCAGAGAATAGTCTCGGTGTCTAGGGGTTGATACCGTTGCCGAAGTACTAGCATGTGAACTGATTGGACTCTTTCTCTGACAAAGGCGACTAGGCGGTTTAGGATGCAGGGCCCTATAGTCAGTAAAAGGAGTAGGATGGTCAAGGGCCCCAGGAGTGAGGACAGAAGGGTAGTTAACCATGGTGCCCTATCAAACCATTGCTCGAACCAGCTCTTCCTTTGTTCCCTTTCCTTCCTCCTGATTTCTATCCTCTCCCGGAGCTTAGACATCGAGTCCTTGATTACTCCTGAGTGGTCAGCATAGAAGCAACATTGTTCTTTAAGAGCAGCACAGAGCCCCCCTTCCTTCAGGAATAGCAAATCTAGTCCTCTTCTGTTCTGGAGAACTACCTCAGAGAGAGAGGTCAGTGATTCTTCTAGCTTAGTGATAGCCCCCTCTATATTTTTTAAATCTTCATCTATGGCTGCTCGAAGGTCCTCAGTGTACTTAGGGCCCTGGATTAGTGCTGCAGTCCCTGTCCCTATACCCGCAGCTACTCCAACTCCCAAAAGAGTAGCCAGGGTCAGGGATACTAATTCTCGCTTCCGTCTGATGGGACCTGGGTAGCTGTCAAACTCTTCTTCGAAGGCACTGGCCTGATAATAATAAATCCTGGGTATCAATTGAACCATGATGCAAAATTCCCCACTATTATTGAAGGCTATACCATGAAGGCAGGGGGAGATCCCAGTGTTACAGACCCACCACCCTTCAGTTGGGGGTTTAAGATAATAGTCTCCCCTTGGTAGACTTTCGAGGGTTTGGTTGCAAAGATGCTTCCATTCTTTCTGGACTGCCCCTATACAGAATCCCACCCCCGTGACTTCTGACAAGGTGAGCTTTCGACGCTCTCCCCAAGGGCAGGCGGCACTCTGGTCAGTAGTGAGGTTGGAGTAGTTCCCCAGGAAAGCTACTCCTTCGTAGTAAGGAGGGCTGGCGGATAAGCAAAGCCAGCAATCTGCAGTCAATGAGGGTGCTGTCTGATTTAGGGTGCTGAAGCTGCCCTGGATTAGGGAAGTCTGTTTTGCTACCAGCTGGGAGATCGGCCTTACGGCCGAGGAGGGTGTACCTGTTCTGTTGGTTGATGAAGGGGTCAAGTGCCCTTTGTTTGATGGTCGGCGGGTGGGTTTCTGGTGTGCCACCCAAGAGACCCCGTGGCCGGAAGAGGGTGCTATATAACCTGGTCCCATCGGGACGGGGGTGGGAGTCTCAGTTTTTAGTTTAATGGAGAAGGTGAATCCTTTGTCCCACCCTGTCATATAGAAGCGTAGCCCCCACGTCTTCCCCATCACCCAGGTAGCGTGCTTCCCCTTTTCTGTAAAAGAGATGTTCAAGGGGTTGCAGAGCCCACTGGTCTCACAACTTCCTGCGGATATGTTTCTCTGGACAGTTATTAAGTCCCATAAAGAAGTAGGTTGCCACCACGCTGCCCCCGTTGTCTCGCACCCCCACTCCCTGCAGTAGAAATCCTCTACTCCTCCGCACCTCTTGGCCTCACTCTTTGTCCTACCGTCTCGAGGACAGATGTAAAACTGGGTTGCCCGAATCCGCCACCTCGCCCGGGGGTAACTGCACCCTGGGTGTCCCCAACTGACTTGGTCTCTGGCATGTCTTGCACTCAGCCTGACCTGATTTGCTTGTAAATAAGTTATGTCTGGGGTGTCCCATCCCTCCAAGCCGGCCATAAGGGCACAGGTGTCTGGGGTCAGGGAGGGCCACCAGGTCCCAGGAGGGGATTCCTTGGTGATACTCCATACAGTATCACCAGTTTGAGAGAGAACTTGCCAGGTCAGTCGCCTGGGGGTGTGTGGGTGGTCACTACTTATCAGTCTCGGTTGTAGGAGCAGGAGTACGGCGCAGGCGAAGCTTGAGGGGATTGTCAGTCCGTTCTGTAGTCCAGCCTTTGGACTCATCCTGGGAGGCTTTTTTGACATGCGACGCGTGGACCCAGGTCGAGATCCCGTCTACCCGAACCGCTGTAGGCGTCGTCAGTAGCACGATGTAAGGTCCTTTCCACCGTGGTTCTAAGTTGGACGAGCGGTGCCTTCGGATGTAAACTGAGTCCCCAACCTGGAACGGATGTGGCACGGTCAGCTCTCCCGGCTTGTAGGCCTCAGCCAACGGAGCCCACACGTCTCTCTGGAGGATTTCGAAGGCCTTCAGCCTGGCGAGAAGAGATTGGGGAGCAGACAGCTGAGAGGGATTACTCCAAGGGTCTATAGCCAGGGGCGGCGGTGTCCCAAAGAGTAACTCGAAAGGGGTTAGTCCTACCGAATTGGGGGTGTTCCGGGCTCGGAACAACGCATAAGGCAGGAGGGCTGTCCAGTCTGATAAGCCAGTCTCTATGGATAATTTTGTCATGGTCTCTTTTAAGGTTCTATTCATTCTTTCTACCTGGCCTGAACTTTGGGGATGATAGGCACAATGTAATTTCCACTTGATCCCCAGTACCCTGGCCAGCCCCTGACTTACCTGGGCGACGAAGGCCGGGCCGTTGTCAGACCCTATTACCTTGGGGAGTCCGAATCTGGGTAAGATGTCTTCTAGTATCTTCTTGGCTACCACGGTCGCGGTCTCGTGTCGCGTGGGGAAAGCTTCTACCCACCCAGAGAAGGTGTCAACAAAAACTAAGAGGTACTTGTACTTGTATTTTGTAGGCTTGATTTCAGTAAAGTCTACCTCCCAGTGTTCTCCGGGTCGGCTCCCCCTTCCCCTCTTCCCTTCTGGGATGGAGGTGGTTTTTGCATTGACCAACTGACAGGCCCGACAGTTCTGAACAATTCCCTCTAATGTCTTGGTGAGGCCTTGGAAATGGTAACCAGTGTTACTACAGAGCTTCCTGAGGCTCCTTTCCCCTAGGTGGGTGAACCTGTGAAGCTGGGTCAGGTATTCAGCTGCCGCCTCCCTCGGGACAATGGGCTTACCTTCAGCCTTGGTGGTCCATATGCCTTGTTTTAACCTGTAGAGGTCAGGCCGGTCCCGGAACTTCTCCTCTTCTTTCTGGGAGTATGATGGGAAGAGTGGCTCCGGGGGGGTCCGGATCGGCCAAGCAGTCAGCGGAAGTATGCTGGGCTGTAGGGCCACCTCCTTGGCGGCCAGGTCGGCCCTTCTGTTCCCCTCGGCTACCTCAGACTTTCCCTTTTGGTGCCCTGGGCAGTGTATGATAGCAAGTTGCCGGGGCAGCAGAACGGCTTCTAATAATTGTAGTATCTCAGCCTTGTTTTTAATTTCTTTCCCTGCCGAAGTTAACAATCCCCGCTGCCGGTAGATGGCAGCATGTACATGTGCTGTGGCGAAAGCATATCTACTGTCAGTGTAGATATTGACTGCCTTCCCCTCTGCTAACTGTAGGGCCTTAGTGAGGGCGATTAGTTCCGCTTTTTGGGCCGAGGTTCCTTCGGGGAGGCTACTTGCCCATACCGTATCTTGAAGGTCTACAACTGCAGCTCCTGCCTTCCGTTGCCCATCTAGGAGAAAACTACTCCCATCAGTGAACCAAGTGTAGTCCGCCCTCGTCAAAGGGGTGTCCTTCAGGTCTCTCCGAACCCCGGTCTCCTCTGCTAGGATTTCGAGGCAGGGGTGTAGGACCTCCTGTCCTTCTTCCCCTTCCGTGGGCAGGAGGGTGGCCGGATTAAGAGTCACAGGAGCCCCGAATGTAATCCTTCCTTCATCTAGGAGTAGACTCTGGTAATGGGTGACCCTGGCGTTGGATATCCAACGGTCAGGGGGTTGACGGATGATGCTCTCCAAGGCATGTGGGGCAATAACAGTCAGCTTCTGGCCCAGAGTTAGTTTATCAGTGTCCTTGACGAGGAGGGCAGTGGCCGCTATGGCCCGGAGACAGGCGGGCCACCCTCGAGCCACAGGATCTAGCCTTTTGGAGAGGTAGGCCACAGGCCGCTTCCAGGGTCCGAGAGCCTGGGTCAAGACCCCACGGGCTACCCCTTTTCTTTCGTCAACGTAGAGGGTGAAAGGTTTCTCTACATCGGGGAGGGCCAGTGCTGGGGCCGAAAGTAGGGCCTCCTTGATGTCTAGGAAGGCTTTTTGGTGCTCCTTTCCCCAGTGAAAGGGCTGCCCTTGCTTGGTTAGTGGGTATAGGGGCTCTGCCATAGTGGCAAATCCTGGGATCCATAGGCGGCAGAACCCGGCTGTTCCTAAGAACTCTCGGACTTGGCGAGGGGTCTGTGGAGTGGGGATCTGTAGGACGGTGGTCTTTCTCTCTTCCGTTAGCCACCGTTGTCCCCCTTCTAGGGCATACCCCAAATATGTGACTCTCTTTTGGCAGATTTGAGCCTTTTTGGCAGAGGCTCGATATCCCAGCTTGGAAAGTTCGGACAGGAGACCCCGGGTTCCCGCCAAGCACTCCTCTTCTGTGGCTCCCGCCAAGAGGAGGTCATCTACATACTGGAGGAGAGTCACTTGGGGGTGTTCTGCCCTGAATATTGCTAAGTCTTTATGGAGAGCCTCATCAAAGATGGTGGGGGAGTTCTTAAACCCTTGGGGTAGCCTGGTCCAGGTTAGCTGCCCGGAATCCCCCGACTCTAGGTCCTTCCACTCGAAAGCAAATAATTTCTGACTCTCCGGGTGGAGTTTGAGGCAGAAAAAAGCATCTTTAAGGTCCAGGACCGTATACCAGATATGACCCGCCGGGATAGTGCTGAGGAGGTTATAAGGGTTTGGAACAGTAGGATGGATATCCTGAACCCGCTTGTTGACCTCTCTCAGGTCCTGGACAGGTCGATAGTCGTTGGTTCCTGGCTTTTTGACCGGCAAGAGGGGAGTGTTCCAGGGCGATTGGCACTTGACCAGAAAGCCCAGGCCCAGGAGGCGGGTAATGTGGGGCTGTATTCCTTCTCTAGCCTCTCTGGGCATTGGGTACTGGCGAACTGCTATTGGGGTGGCTGCTGCCTTTAGCTCGATGATTACTGGTGGTTGTTGGGTGGCTTCTCCAGCCCCAGCAGTCTCTGCCCACGCCCTAGGAAATTCCCGTAGCCAGTGATCGAGGTCAGCAGGGGTCTTACCGGTCGGCTGAAAGAGCCGGTGTTCATCCTCTAAACGGAGAGTGAGGGCCATCGGGGGTCCCCATTTGGTAGTAGGTCCTGCTGGGGTGAAGGTAATTTGGGCCCCCAGCTTGGTCAAGAGGTCTCTCCCCAGGAGGGGAGAGGGACACTCAGGTATGACGAGGAATGAGTGAGTCACTTCTCCCCGGCCTAGGTCAATGCTCCGGGTAGTGGTCCAGGGGTATTTTTTATGCCCCGTAGCCCCTTGTACCAGGGAGGTCTTTCCCGATAGTGTCCCAAATGGGCTTTTGAGGACTGAAAACTGGGCTCCCGTGTCTACCAGGAAGCTTACTGGTTTCCCCTCCACTTTGAGTATTATCCTGGGCTCAGGGAGGGGTGCCGAGCCCCGACCCCCCTAGTCACTGTCCTCGTGGAGGGCTAGGACTGGCTTGGTTTCCTTTTCCTTGTTTTGCTTTGGGCATTCATTCTTCCAATGTCCATGCTCCTTGCAGAGCGCACACTGGTCCCGGTCTAGAGGTCTCCGGCTGCCGCCCAGATTAGCCCTTTCTTTCCTACCCTGCTTCTTTCCTGCGCCCTGTTGGGGCTTTTCTCCTACCGCTATGGCCAGGATACGAGTAAGTTGCTTCTCCTGCCTCTTTTCCCTTTCTCTTTCCTTTTTCCTCTCTTTCTCTTCTCTCTCTTTCTCCAATCGCTGCTCCTTTTCCTCCTCTGTCTCCCTCTTATAGTATACCTTCTCAGCTTCCTTCACTAAGTCTTTTATCCCTAAATCTTGTAGCCCATCCATCCTCTGTAACTTCTTTCGGATGTCCGGGGCCGACTGACCTATAAAGGCCATTGCAACAGAAGCACTGTGTCCCTCAGAGGTTGGGTCAAATGGGGTATACCTCCGATATGCCTCCATCAGTCGCTCAAGAAAGACCGACGGGGGCTCTGTGGGTCCCTGTATCACCTCTCTTACCTTTGCCAAATTAGTGGGGCGTCGTGCTGCCCCTCTGAGACCAGCCACCAGAGTCTGGCGATAGACCGACAGCCGCTCCCTACCTTCAGCGGTATTGAAGTCCCAGTCAGGGCGGGCGAGGGGGAAGGCTGTGTCGATGAGGTGGGGAAGCTGGGTCGGGCGCCCATCTGGCCCACGGACACTCTTCCGGGCCTCTAAAAGGATCCTCTCTCGTTCCTCTGTAGTGAATAGAGTCTGAAGGAGCTGCTGGCAGTCATCCCAAGTGGGCTGGTGAGAAAACATGAGGGACTCTACCAGGCTAGTGAGCCTCAGGGGGTCTTCGGAGAAAGGGGGGTGATTAGTTTTCCAGTTATAGAGGTCAGAAGACGAGAAAGGCCAATATTGGAGAGGGGGCAGAGTAGGGGTACCATCATCGGCAGGGGGCGGGGGAGGCCCGAGGGCACGGAGTGGACAGGCAACCGTTGAGTCGGGCGACTCGGCAGGCTGGTGACGACGACTGCGGGTTCCTCGGGCCGGGCCTTCCGGGTACAGGGGTCCTGGCAGGGCAGGCGGGGCTGAAGGTGCCGGGACCAAGGAAGGGGGGTAAGGAGGGGGAGGATCCAAGAGAAGAAGATCAGACTGAGAGTCCTGAAGAGGTCTCTTAGTCTGGTCCCCCGTGGTTGCCGCCACAGCGACAATGGCCGACCTATTTCTGGGAGGAAGAAGGGGTCGAACCCAGGAGGGAGGGTCTCGGGCCAGGCTCTGCCACACAATTATGTAGGGCTGCTGGTCAGGGTGACCTGTCCTGGAATCAAAGATTTTGTTAAAGACTTCATTAAGAACCTGGGTGTCAAAGGTTCCCTCTACCGGCCATCCAACCCCGAAGGTAGGCCATTCAGACGAACAGAAAGTCTGCCAGGGTCCCTTCCTAACAATCACAGACAAGTCCGAGCCGCGGCCTCGAACCTCTTTCCAATGATCAAGAGTCACACCCAAAGGGGTCGATTTTCCTTGACCCATGTCGGTGAAGAAAAAACTGAGACAGAAAATGACAGAAATGAGACCACAAACAAATATGAAGTCGGGCCGCGGCAATCCTCGGTCCAACCACAACGCGACGGGCGACTGACTCATACAAAACCTGACCAAAACCTGACCTCAACCCCGGGACGTCTCCCGGGGACAACGGTTTTTGAGAGTCAGACCCCCTGTCTGACCCAAAGACTGTCCTCCCTTACGGCAGGAACAGTCCCGTTGGAACCAGAATAAAAACCGAAACCAGTCGCCACACACAGAGACACAACACAAAGACAGACAGTCGGCCGACACAAAAACTCACCTCCAAGATGGTCTTGGTCGTCTCTGTGGCCGCCACAGATCCCGGACGAGCCCCCAAATGCTGGGCCAAAGACCCCCCTGGTCTCTGGTCCTGACCGGTGGCGACCCCGAGAGAGAGAGCCAGGAGACCAAATTGATGCAAACGCAAGAGGCTTTATTCGAGCGCTCGGTCTCACAGCCCGCAGTCACCAAGGGTGAGTGCTAGCTGGAGCCCCGAGCGAGGGAAAGGGTACAGCTTTTAAAGGCAAAAACCACACGCAGGTGGCCAAAGAATTTTCCATACGTTAACAGGTTAAGCTTTAACAGATTAAAGCCATTGTTACATTCTTGTGGTTAGGGTGTTGCTGGGGCATTAATCACTTAGTTTCTTATTTTAATTTTTAAAAGGTCAGGGTTGCACAAACAGGATATAACTAACTCTGACCCTGGTTTCTGTTTTTCTCATAAGAAGCTGAGGGGGGTTTTTCTTGGCCTCACATCTCCAAGACACAGACTCTGCCTCAAAACTGCTATCCACACCCAGTGTGGGTTTCTTCTGCTCTAGCATCCAAGATAGCTACTCAGCAATGACTGCTCTCATCTCTGTGGCTCCTGCTCTGGGGTGTGTGTGTGTGTGTGTGTGTGTGTGTGATGAGAGAGAGAGAGATAGATTCAAGAGAAAGCTGTTAAGAGATAACTGCCAAATTCTACAGCTCAAAATAAATATGTTGAATCTCAGACCATGCCCAATATTACCCACTGGGTCAGAACTCAAATTCCATGCAAGGCCAGATTTTAAAATGGAATTTAAAGATTTTGGGCCTCAGACAAAAGCCAGACCACTTCCAGAACTCACTGCAGCCCCAACCGGTTTGGTTCAGTGGATAGAACATCAGCCTGCAGACTGAAGGGTTCCAGGTTCGATTCCAGTCAAGGGAATGTACCTTGGTTGCAGGCACATCCCCAGTAAGGGGGGGAGGGGGGCGCCCCGGGAGGTGCAAGAAGCAGCTGATTGAAGTTTCTAATTCTATTCCTCTCCCTTCTGCTCTGTAAAAAAAAAAAAAAAAAAAAAAAAAAAAAAATCAATAAAATATATTTTTTTAAAAAGAACTCATTGCAGTAGGACATGAACTCTTAATGTGGTTGTGAACTGTCCTTTCACCTTACATGTGAAAGGACAGTTTCTTGTTAAGTACACTGTATCTGATTTCTTAAGCGTTGTAGGATTGTGTAGGAGCACAATTTGCATCCTACAAAGCTTGGACAATGATTCTGTTTGAATCAGAAGAGATGCTGACTTGGCTATTGCTTTTGTTCAAAAGAATCGCTTCATAAGTCATTCGCTGTAGCATTCATAGCTCAACACCTGGTCTCGAGCACACTGGTTTTCCTCTCCTGCTCTGATTGTTTAATTTTATTTACAAGTGGTTTCTGGCTGCAGGAAGTCAAGGATAGAAAGATGAAGTCTGGTGTTCCGGGTATGATGAAGTGGAACCCTTCCCCTCACTAACACGACCCTCCCGTAATAAACACCGATCATTCTCTCTGGCCACCTGAGCACAGCCACACACACAGGGCGAGGAATGCCCTCGCAGAGGAAATTAACAAATGTAGCGTAAATGAACTTCACTTGTTAGAGCGCAGAGTTAATGAGCCTGAAACGTGTGCGATTAGTCCAGGAACGTGGGCTTGGGCCGGCTCCCGAGCAGCGGAGTGCATCCCAAACGCTGGCAAATCTAGGCCATTTGTCACAGGAGGGAGAGAAGCGAGATCCACGGTCAGCGACAGCCCTCATCGTTGGAGGAAAGGCAACCACAATGCACAGGCAGAGATCCCAAAGACAGCACGGCCAGGCACTGTGCAGCAGGGAGAAGCATTCTCAGGTGCACTGAGTGGATTTGGAAGACACAAAGATTTATCTTCATAAAATTCTATTTGTACCCACAGTAAGAGTCTTCATATTAAACACACATTTAGCCTTAATAATAGCCCTATTTTTTCACAATTCGGTCTGAAAGTGCCTTAGGTTTTGTCCCATCTACTTTTAAATGTTTTAAATGTTTAAAAGGGAAAATAAAGGTGAAAATACAAATGTGAGGAAAATGCTATCCTACTGAATGCTCTCAATAAAACTTGAAGCCCTGAGCCAGCCCTGAAGTCAGACCGCCTGGTGGCAGCTACTGACTGTCCTGACCCCCGAGGCCATGTGTGTGTCTTGGACTCGGGTAACCATCGTCGCCTTCCTGTGCTTCCGTGTCTTCTGCTGAAGATGGGAGTGAAAATAGGACCTGTAGATGCTTGTACCTGAGGTGCCTGGTACTTAATGCATTTCTGTTGTTATTTCAAAAGATATCTTATTCTCCAAAAGAAATGATTTCTACCTCCCACCATACAAAAAATAATAAAAATAATTGGACTAAAGGTTTCAAAGTTAACCATGGAGATTTAAAAATCCCTAGAAGGCTTCTGTTACACAAGAACAAGCCCTAGAGGTCAGCTAGGAGGAGACGAGCTATGTTATATATGCAAAACCTGCTGAGAGGGAAGACTTTGCTGTGTGTTTGTTTTGTTTTGTTCCTCACAAAGGAGTGATAAAAACACGAAATAAAGAGCATGAGAGGAAACGTTTGGAGGGGATGGATACGTTTACGAAGTAGATTGTGACCGTTTCACGTGTGGATACCCCTCTCCAAATTCATTACATTTTATCCGTTAAGTATGTACAGCTTTCTTTCTCTCAATTATACCTCCATAAAGTGGTTTCAAAAGGGAAGAAGGAAAATGTACAATCTTGAGGAGAAGTTTGTGTAAACAGGACAGCAAAACTGTTGTTCCAATTATGCCCCAATTAATTGGTTATCTGTCTAGACTTAGTGGGACAAAAGCAATACTGGCCTTATCTCTGGTACTTCAGTGTCTAGACAGCTGAGCGAATCAGAACACATGACACACAGACAGAATGGGTATGCTCTCACACAATAGGGTTTATTTCCCTATTCCTAGTGGGTCCTGGGCTCCGGCAAGGCCACCCGGCGATGCACAGTGAAGGACAGACGGTGAAAACAGAGACAGGCAGGCGGCCGCAGCTGGTTCGGGCTCACACAGCAGAGCAGTGAGGGGCTTGTCTCTCGGAGCGACGTGGAGTCCTCTTATCGGGCAGGAGACCTCCACTGAAGCTGGTCCCGGGTTATATGGACCGCGGTAACCAACTGTCTCCTTATAGGTGTGGGCCAGGCGGTGTGCCCCATGCCGGGAGCAGGGTGTTTACACTTTAAGGCACATGTGTCAAACACAAGGCCCGAGGGCCAAATCCTTGATAGCATGTGAGTTGGTTAACAGCACTGTTAAGGAAAAGATTGTTCCACTCATTTTAAATTCACATTTCTGGTTAACATTGTCAGTTTATGACTGTTCAGTAAACCATTCGGCCCGCGATTTAGGCTGGATTTTAGATTTTGGCCCCTTCTCTGATTGAGTTCGACACCCCTACTTTAAGGGCTCAGAGCTTTTACATGAAGATACTGGGGTGTTCATTCATTTTGGAAGGCACAGAGTATTGGGGGTTTTCACACAGCAAACATTTCACACAATAATTATTTCATACATTAGGGGGGTTACATTATCATAACAGCTGGGTCATGGCACACATAACTAACAGATTCAAGTTTATAAAGATTTAAACCTTCTATATGGGGAAAGTAGTTTCCATAAACCAACTGAAAAAGGAAGAGGAAAATTGCATTTTAAAATATTTGCACATATGTGACAAAAAATAAACTAATGTACATAACATATTTTAAAGCTTAGAAATTAAGTACAGGCTTCCCAATGGGAAAATGTAGGAAGAGGACATGAACTGGCTTCTCACAAGGGAAGTGATGTACGTTTCTTGTTTAAGTCCTCACCTCACGAATGAGCAAAGTCATGAAAATTAAAACAATATTGAGTCTGGTACTGTTACAGAATTTACCAGGCGACCACAGATACGCAGGAGTTCCCCGAGATACAGGAAAAACCCATGTATTTTCAGAGGTTTCACATGTACCAGTACAGTGACTCAGGGATCAATTCTCCAAATCCTCAGTACACCAATATGAAGGAAGTTCTCCCTTTATACCCTTTGGTCTTTGTCCCCCAAATATGGATGGGACTTCCAGTCCTTTCTCAGGGCTTTGCAGAAAGCCCCGTGTGTTGGGTGGGGGCCGTGAGACCACACCTAAAGGCCTGGCCTGGCATCAGCGCTGATAACACCCTCTGGGGTTGTGTATTGTTCATGGTTTATGGCCTCTGTGAAATGGGAGCACTTAGTAAACCAGATAATCTACAAGACCAGATAATGGAGGAAGGGGCAGTGACTAGGCTATAGGCTAACAGGAAGGTGCTTTAGGATACAGAGTCAGGCTGCTAACACACACACACACACACACACACACACACACACAGTCTTATTTTCCTCATCAGTAATACTCAGGATGGTGTCAGTGATGTGAATCAGGGAAAGATCGGGGAGAAGGGAAGGTGGGTTGAGAATAAGGCAATAAGATGGAAAATGTGGAGAATTTTTTTAAATTTACTTAATTTCAACAGGAAGAGGGAAGAGGACAGGAATAGAGAGAAAAGTCTGGCCTCATTTACCTGGAGGAACCCTAATGGCCCTTTGGGTCTTGACATGAAATAGACCTGGATCTGAATATTTTCTGTCA